GCGCCGTCCCTTGTGGCAACGGCGCGATCGCCACCGTACGGCGGGGAATGAGGAGGAGATGATGGTGGAGAACCAGATTCCTTTAGAATCTCGTCTATGGTACGGTGAGGAAATGAGGGGTCGTCATCGTCGTCGTCGTCGCCGCTGGAGAGGTGTGCGTGAATGAAAGCATTCAGGTCCAGCTCCATTAGAGGCAGTACTCCGGTGTCAGTCAGCTCCTTGGTCATTCTTAATTTCGAAGCTTTTGACTCTCACTTGGTTCGCTGCTTTGCTTCTTGTCGGAGCTTTTCCGCTTCGAGGACTGTGGCGTAGGGAGGCACCGAAATGTTAGAATTTTACGCGCCGTAATATGATGCTGTTAATCTCCTTCCCTCGTCTTTATTATTATTATTATTTTGGATAAAATATATTAATTTATCTTCTTCAGAAAACCCTTGTCGATATTATTAAAAGGGTTATTGGGCAACAAAACGCCCTCCCCTCCCATTTCACTACTTTTCAGTTTTCAGAAGTTTTTCGGACCAAGAAGAATTATGTTTAAAATTACCTTTCTTTCAATAAGAAATAAATATCTGTTTTCATCATTTTGGATCACATACAATTCTTCCAACATTTGCAAGCCAGGAATCATCCTAAATTATAATTTTTCAATCCAATATATTAATTTCAAACTATTTTAGATTATTCCTCTTTATAAATTATGTTTGAACGGTCATATATTTCTTTATATTTCTTTGTATGGATAAATATTTTCTTACCATCTTTTTCGGTTTGAGATTTTATTTTCGACCATCTTTCGTAATCCTAGAAGCACTTCAATCTTCAATTTTCACCTCTACTACCTTTAAAACCTTATAAAAATACGTTAACTTTTAAATTTTCATTTTTATAGTCTTTCCTACTTTCTTTCCGAACAAACAATTTATCAACTTTTAACTGTTTTTTAAGTTGTAATTAAAAGTTAAACTTTGAAAATTAATTTGCTAACCAGCACATATATATAATATTTGAGATAAATACATAAAAAAAACATTCTTAAAATTAACCTTTTTTCGTGAATTTTAAAGTTTTTTCTAACACAAGTACAGTTGTAAATATGATGTTTTAAAGAACGAGCACAAATTATACATTTAATTTTCCTAAACAAGATGTTAATTCAGTATTGTTGCTGAGGAAATTTATAACATCCTAATAAAAACACCATTTATAAAATGGAGAAACAACAAAACAGGGAACGAGGGAAGGACTGGATGGGTATAGTTGTCAACCTAAGGAATTTTATCTTCTATTTTTCTCTTTGATGGTATTTGTCTTTTCTTACTGTAACAAATTTTGTAGTTTAGTATAATATATGTAACGGAGTTATTCATTTTTGTTTATCAGAAATAGATCGGCAAAATTTTAGGTATTGAATAAATATAAAATATGGCAACCACATTTATAATTTAATCCAATTAATTTATTGTGTTAATGTTTGATTATATTTGTCATATTTAATTGTCATTGCGATGAAATAAATAACCTTTTTAGTGCCACATGTATGCAGAGGTCGTGATCTAATTTATAATTCTCTAGTCATATACAATGTTTTAATTTGTCAAACTTCAACGATAAAATAAATAATATTATTAATTGTTTTCATTGAATGAATAAAAATCTATTTTTGTTCCTTAGTATTACTGTTCATCGCACTTTTTAAATAATATATTTAGAAACGAATATTCATATTTTAAATATATGTTTTTTTTAATATACATACGCTAAATGCATTCATTGTAAAATATAACGAGTAGATTAATAGTGTATGCAAGTTATCCACACATTCATAACTTAATGGTAAATGATGTATAATGAGTATCGTTTTATATACAAAAAAACAATGTTGATAATAACTTACATCTTAAGTTTGTTCGGGATTAATGACATACACTCGTTATCTCGAAGTCAAAATTTAAATCGTCGTATCCTATCTCGTAGGTCTACCCATCAAATTGAGAATTGTTACTTAGTATGTAGTTCCTTACCAGATCTAAAATTGTTAATTGCTACGAATCTACTTATCAAAATATTTATTTAATACCTATAATCAAACTCATGCAATTCACTATTTTAAATGTTGTACATAATCAACATTTGAATACTCAGTGATTGCATACACTTAATTAAACACAATTCAACCAAAACTAAACAAAATTGTAACATTCAACCATCTTTGATGGTTTATTGGTTCAATAGAATTGGGTAAATGGACGGAAAATTAGGTCAAATATTTGGATAACCATTTATGTTAAAAGTTGGTTCTTTTTTTCTCTGGTAAAATAATAATAATAATAATAATAATAAAATTATAACTATCTAGAATACCAACAAGTAAATAAATGAATTAGTATATATATATACCAAAACCCAAGACATATGTTATATAGTATGGTAATGATGTAGTAGACAACATGCATTTATTTCAATGACAATTGGTATTATAAATATGAAATCAATAGATTAAATACAAAATATAGTTGTATCATATGCTTTCATATATGTTTTTTATAGCAAGTTTGAAAGGTAATATATATATATATATATATATATATATATTTTGTAGCGTTAACCATAAATAAATATTAATTTAGTTAAATCTAAAACGATATTAATTAATCTATTAAAATATATGTTATAAATATTGTAGAAGTTACAACATTATATAATTAATAATACAATATATTATATTTTTTAATCCGAATAAAAGTGATACGAGATTATAATACGTAATATATTTATTTATCAAATAAAATATTGTATCATCTAAAAATCTAAAAATAAGTAAAAGGAAAAAAAAAACAAATACGATAGGGAGAAATTCACTTGACTCAGTGAATTGCATACCAAAGGGTCGTTATTGAACCGACAATTACGAGAATGAAAAGACGCATCTTGAAAGGTGGGGAGTTTTACATTACATTTACTTTACCATCCTTTTTCGGTAAATTCCAATTAGAAATGGACAACATGCGATTGCGGACGGCGAAAACAAATTTTAGACCCCACAACCCGCGAAAATATGCCCGCTATTTCTTAATTCTCACCTCTGACCTCCGTCACTCTCTCGTCTTCTGTTCGTCTCTGCACACCGAGAAACCACCGAAACAGAACAGACAAAGAAAAGAAAAGAAAGGAAAGGAAGACCGAATGATTTGATCGCATCCAGTCACCGCCGGTAACTCCATCATGTCTCAGAACCAGCTTATTGACTCCCTCACCTCCCATATCTCCCTCTACCACTCTACATCCCTTTCCTTCAACCCCGATCCCAATCCCAATCCCAATCCTAGGTCCTCGATCCTTAAATGGTTCTCATCTCTTTCCGTCCCCCAACGCCAAGCTCATCTCACGATCGTTGATTTCAAATTCGTCCAAATCCTCATCCAGATGGTGGCAGAAGTTCGTAGCCGAGGACACGGTTTCTTCATCGTCCTTCCGGACATCCCCTCTTCCGACCCTCCGCACCTACCTAGCTTCTGCTTTAAGAAGTCCCGCGGACTCTTGTCTCGTGTCTCCGAGTCCAGCGAGTCCGAGAGGACAATTTTTGAGTCCACTCGATTATTCGGTTCCAGGGAAGGCGATAAACTCGAGGAATGTGCTTGCTCGTTAAACAACATGGATTCTATAACTGTAAGTGAGGAATTCGTCGCTAATGTGGATAAATTTGTCGAGACAATGGATGTAGTTTCAAATGGGGGGTTTTTGAGAGGTGAAGGGGGTGACCTGGCATCTGACTGGGCCGAATTAAATTGGTTAAAAGCGAAAGGGTATTACAGTGTCGAGGCGTTTCTGGCAAATAAGTTGGAGGTGACTTTGAGATTGTCATGGATGAACTTGAATCATGGAAAAAAAAGATCGGTGAAGTACAAAGAGAAGGCTAGCGCAATCGGCATGGCGACAAACGTGTTTTGGAGGAAGAAGGGATGTGTGGACTGGTGGGATAAATTGGATGATTCGACAAGAGAGAAAATTTTGACCGCAATTATGGGAAAATCCGCAAAAAATTTGGTAATGCTGGGAACATTGACATGCTGTACATTTGCATGATTATTTAGTCGAAGTCGTTACAAGTTATTTTAAAATATTCATGGTGTTGCCTAATCCTTTCGTCTCTATACTTCCTTCATTTTGATGAATGTTCGGTTTCCATCTATTTTATATATGATTTAGTTCATACTCGAAACAATCAGGTCGAAAATATTTGGATTGTCCGAGTAAAATTGTGGTTTTCTTTTCTAATTCTCTTCGTAGGGTATTGTTTTATAAGAGACCAAAATATTTATCTTAGGACATGATTCTGGCACTTTGAGTTATGGGGTTATTTATTTATCTTCTTTTAAAGAATTTTGTAGTTAATTCCTGAGGAGTTAATATGTGGATTCAGAAACTATGGGTTACCGTAGAGAATTGCCACCTCAAGCTTGAAATATGAAACCAAAATATTCATGGAAGATTACCTACATTCCTTCTTCGGGGAAGGATTAAAGTCGGGAATCTTCCACTTAATAAGTGGAATTAGGACCGCTATAGAGCCGTTCAAGTAGCTTGTGTTGGATTCTTAGATGTTGCTCAAAGAACATTAACTTGATTAAGCATGTGTTGAGTACAACGTGATGGTGGCTCTATATTGAATGCCGTGGGATGAAAGAAACAGGAGGATTTTTCAAGGGGAGAACACGCCTACAGATGTTTTTGGTATAATATTAAATACCATGCTTCTTCTTGGTGCTCCCTTAGCAAAGAGTTCTGTAAATTTGTAATTATGACTTTTTTCAGATTTATGCCAATTGGGAGTCTTTTTTGTAGTTTCTAAGGCTTGGGCTTATGTGTCAGCAGAACTTGGTATTTCTCTCTGCCTTCGTAGGAAAATCGATGAATTTATTTTGGAGGGCTTTGGTGGAGCTTTTCTCAAAAGGCAAAGTGTTTGCCTTGTGGAATTGTGTCGTTAGAGCCTTGCTTTCAAGGAACGGTAGACTTTTTGGAGATAAAAAGTCCCTAGAGGATTCTTTTTGTTTGAATTTATAGCATATTGCTTCTTGTGGGCCACTATTCACAAGGAATTCTTTTGTAATTACAATTCAATTTACATACGATAGCAAATGATTGGAAAGTTGTGATTGTTTAGTCCTGAGGGTGGGCCTTTAGGTCGTCTTCCCCTGAAGCACAGCAACACCTCTTTATATTTTGATAAGAAACCTAACTTTCATTATTAAATGTGAAACTAGAAGGAATCCTCTGGAATGAGATTTTGCAAGGTTGGTTTTTAAAAGGCAAGGCTAAGGTCCTATGGAATTGCATGGCTAGAGCCCTTATTTGGAACATTTGGACCAATAGAAACTTGAGAGTTTTTAGGATAAATCTTCTTCTTTTGACATTTTTTTGTAATAGCGTACAACTCTCTTCTTCTTGGTGGGGCTTTTAGACACAAGAATTTTTTTGTAATTACAACCTCTCAAAGTAGTCTTTGTTTTGGGAGGGGTCGTCTCATTTCCTGTCTGTAGGGTGTTTTTCCTCTTTTGTCTGTAAAAGGTTTCTTGTCCAAAAAAAGAAGAAGGAAAGCGTCGCTAAGGCGACATTTTCCCGTTTCGTCGCTAATAATGAAAATAAAAAACTAGAAGGAACCCTGATCCCTTTTTGCATTTTGATTGTTGGTTCTTAGTAGGATATTATCTCTGATGCAAAATTATAATTTGATTAAAGGTTTTCCTGTGGCAACGTAAAATTTCACCATCAACATCATTTCATGGAAGAAATGTTATTTCACCATCAACGTAAAATTATGTTGCTAGTCTAGCCTTCTAGGTTTTGGGACGTTGGGAATTAATTACAATACTCTGTAACCAATTAACTAAGTTGGCTGACAAAGTACAAAACTTAATCTAATTTATATCAATAAACTTGCTAATTAAGATGAACGCAGCAATTCCCCTAACAGCGTAAATCATTATTCTTTCCTGGAAAATTTGACTCACTTTTATTTGTTTGGTATGTGTGCAGCAGTTTGAGACCTTTCATTATATTTCAACCTAACTTCCAGTCATTTTTGTTTTCAGATACACGATATCTTGAAGTGGACAAGTGGACTTGCGGAGCATGAGATGGGGCTTTTTAGTGCGGAATGGAATAGACCATTTAGGTACAATTGTACTACATCTCCACCAAGGTCCATGCTAACATCCCAAGCGGACCTGCATATTGACTTCAACATAATTCCAGCTTCGCTTTCTGGAAAACCTTATTCCTTAACCAACTTATTTAGAAAATTGCTTGTGCTTCAAGATATTGTTATGATGGTATCATCGTGTCTTCATGATGAATACTATAGGAGTAATCTATTTTATAGCACTTTGGGTTCTATTTGTGCCATCCCTGATTGTATATTAAGAAAATTGCGGGAGTTTCTTATGTTTATTTCACTTGATTGCACAAAACTTGAACTTTTAGGAGAGGGGAATATTAAGTCCTTGCCTAGTAAATCGAGAGAGAATCTAGGTGCTTCCAGTCGAAGAAAAAAGGGAAAGAGCCGGAAATCACAGAATCATGTATTGAGACCATGTGTAGATGATTCGTCTTGTGATAAATTTATCAAGGTAAATTTAGTTTGAAGACTCTAAAATGTTTTATTATGGACATGATATGAATTTAATTATTAGATGTTGCCTCAGGAAGTTGACAAGGAGTGTGCTCATAAAGGGAGGGAAGATATGATGGAATCCACAACAATATCTATTATGTCCAAGGGAAATGAGATTTGTAGAGAAATGCCAGCAGACGTATCTAAAACGGTTGATTTGGTTGATTTATTTATTTATTATTTATTTTATTTGGATTGCATTTCTTAGTAATGGCTGGAATGCATTGTAACCAGTGGCCTGTCAGCAGGTACATAACCATATAATGAGTGTTGGGAAAGATCAAGGTACTACAAGGAAGAAGAAAAAACACAAGAGTAAAAACTCTGGTGGGAACAACAGGCTAGTTGAAATAAGAAATTCTGAAGGGCCATCTGTTAGTTCTCAGGATCAGGCAGGAGAGTTGGAGAAGATATTCAGAAGACCTTCCATCTCGAATATCACAAATGATAGTTCAACAATAAACTCAAGTCCTCTAATTTCATCTAACGAGCCTAACAGAGACTATGACAGCCAGCAAAATATTGAAGTACAAGAAATTTCTGGGTTAACAAAATATGTTGGTTCGGAAGAGTCTCAATCCCCAGAAGGAATAGTTGAAAATCAAAGCTTATCATCTAGATCGGAAGCTTCTACGACTTTTATGGATTGCGGTGCAGTACCTTCTCATTTGCCTTCGTTGGAGCTAAAGAATATTGTCAAAAGCAATGCCAATGTGAAGGGCTCTGTTCGAACTTGTGAATTAGGAGATAAATCATCTTTGTTGGATAAACTTCCGAGAACTTTTGATGTAAAGGAGAAATCATGCTTATCTCAAGATCAATTTCGTGGTGATTCTTGTAATAGTAGGACCTCAAATTCTTTGGAACATTCTCCCTATGAATGGCATGGTGTAGCTTCTTTGTATTTCCCATCATTCAATTCGCATCTCCCACCTGCTACTGATAGACTACATTTGGATGTTGGGCACAATTGGCACAACCATTTCCGACGGTCTTTCACACCTACAATGCATCAATCAAGAAATTCTACCATTAAAGGAGGTTGTAATCCAATTCTGACTCGACCACTGTTAATGAGTCTAGATTGGCCCCCAGTCTTAAGAAGTGCTTCTGGCTTGGCTTCAACAATGACATCAAACCACGATACTGGGTTTCTGTCTAGGAGACAGTCTACCTTTCGACAGGTGCTTCCTACTAACAGCAATCAAATTAGTACCGAAGATGAGAAGTACTCTGCTAAGCTCACCGATTTTCCTGATTTATCAAATAATCAGGACCTAGCAGATGAGTGTGATGGAAACTGGATATCAGAAGAAGAACTGGAAATGCATGCAGTTTCTGGGATAGACTATAATCAGTATTTTGGTGGTGGTGTTATGTACTGGAATCCTTCTGATCACCATGGGACGGGGTTCTCTCGACCTCCTTCGCTTAGTTCTGATGATAGCTCATGGGCTTGGCGGGAAGCTGACATGAACAGAACAGTTGATGATATGGTTGCTTTCTCTTCTTCTTATAGTAATGGGTTGACTTCTCCAACTGCTACTTCATTCTGTTCTCCTTTTGATCCACTGAGTTCCGGAAAGCAGGCTCTTGGTTATGTGGTGCAAGGAACTGATATACCCAACAACATGCTTCATTCTTCACCAACTTTGAAAGACACAGCGACAGAGGAGGAAGCTCCTAGATCTTTGGCAAATTTGCCTAGTGATGTTGAGGGAAAGACAGGTGACTCGCATCCATTTCCTATGCTGCGGCCTATTGTTATTCCAAATATGTCAAGGGAAAGATCAAGATCTGAGTTCTGCCATGGCTATGATCACAAAAGCCCATGTATCCCTCCTACTAGGAGAGAGCAATCTCGAGTAAAGCGTCCACCATCTCCAGTAGTTCTTTGTGTTCCACGGGCACCAATACCACCTCCACCTTCTCCTGCAAGTGACTCCAGGAAACACAGGGGGTTTCCAACTGTTAGATCTGGTAGCTCAAGTCCTAGGCATTGGGGTGTAAAGGGTTGGTATCCTGATGGAACTAATTTGGAAGAAGCATGCTTACGTATTGATGGTGCTGAAGTTGTATGGCCGAATTGGAGAAATAAAACCAATTCTAATTGTTCAACGGTTCAACCTTTATCATTAATAGCAGTGTCCCAGATAGCTCTCGATCAGGAACATGTTAGTATGCGGCCACCATCCAAACATTTGAACTATGTAGTATGTACTGGGTCTGCAATTTACTTATGATTAGTTTTCTTTTGCAGCCAGATGTTGCATTTCCTCTCTTTCCACCTGCAAGGAGCTGTTCTGTAAAAATGGAATCTCTTTCTTTGATGCATAGCCGCTTACATGATGAGATTGACTCTTTCTGCAAACATGTAAGAGCTCTCATTGTTGCTAGTTTTTTTTTTGTTCGTAGTTGGATTTTATGTAAATGATGTTGTCACTGAGCAATGCTATGCATTTGATATATGTCAAATGATGGCATAAAAAGGTTGCTGCAGAAAATATGGCTAAGAAGCCTTACATTACTTGGGCTGTTAAACGGGTAACAAGGTCCCTTCAAGTCTTATGGCCCAGGTCCAGGACAAACATTTTTGGTTCAAATGCGACTGGTTTGTCCCTTCCAACAAGTGATGTGGATCTTGTGGTTTGTCTTCCCCCAGTAAGGAACCTGGTAAGTTAATTACTTTAATTGGATCCATCACGCGTTTTCCCTGCTTAGTGCTTTTATCAAGTCTCGCTGCCATTATCTTTTAGGAACCTATTAAAGAAGCTGGGATCTTAGAGGGGCGTAATGGTATCAAAGAAACCTGCCTTCAGGTATGTTTATTCTTATCTCAAGGAATTGAATATGAGATTGCAATTTTATCGTTATTTTTGCTCACTCCAGGTATCGCTGATTGTGCCTTGTAGAGGGATGTATTATTTTACCATTGAAAAAAAAAAGAATTATATTTTTGCTTATAGTAAAAGTAAATCCGATCTTAATTGTTCATAGAAATTAGTAGTGTCAATAGGATGGTTTTCAATTCCTCTTGTTGCATTGCAGTTTCTAATACCCCAGAGGCCAGAGCCGTCCAACTTTCCTTTGTTTATTTATATAAGTTGAAGAAGTTTTTTTGGTTTTTCTCTCCCACGAGGTTGAGATTTGTTAATTGATAAGAAAAATAATTTTTACTTACTCTCAAAGAATTGATACAAGGTAGATTAAATAGTAATTATAGGGAAGAAGAAAAAAAGAAAAGAAACTCTTGCCTATTAGAATAAGAAACCCTTATCTATTAGAACAAGGAAATCCTAACTATTAGAGCCTAAATGTAACAGGAAAATAAAAAGAAAATAACTGTAAAATATAATTTAACATGATTGACTCTTACTCTTCCTGCCTCTTGTTAATTTGATTCTTCTTTATCATCCATATTTCTTATCAAATGAACAAAAAGAAGGTTGTTATCTATATTTCTTATCAAATGAACAAAAAGAAGGTTTTTACATCTATCTAAAACATGTTGAAGCACCATGATTAACAAACTTGATTAATGATCTAATAGATAATAAAGTGATGAAAAATGTCATGTTTATTTGTGCATTCAAAATAAGTACTAAACAAAATCTCTGTATTGCATGAAATATATGCCAATGATGCCTAAAAAATCAAAAGAGAACAGTAAGAAAGAATGAATCTTTCTTTTCACTTCTCATTTTGAGATTTTTAAAAGTTAGAAATGGAGAGAATGAAGAACCAATGAGTTACAAGAGAGATCTCCAACCGGTTAAAAAGCATATTTAGAGGGTAGTTACAAAACTCTCTCAATTTGAGAGTCCAAAAGGACAAAAGAAACACATCATCATCCCATAGATGATCAAAGGATTTCTCATCGTCTTTGAAAACTCTCATTTTGAGGGTTTTTTTTTAAAAAAAAAAATTAAATAATTTTTTTATTTTTATTTATTTTTTAGTTTTTACGGGAAACACATATTTCATTGATAAGATTAAATATACAAAATAAGGAGAATCCGAAAGCTACATAAGGGCCTCCAATTTCTCATAAGGTCATTTAAGCTGTAGCTAGAGAAAAAAGACAAGTAACTTTTACACCAGCCAAGAGCCAGAAGCAAAACCCCATTACAAAAAATGTTGTAAGGCTGGGATTTGTTGTTCCTTTCTCTCCATAAGCTCCACAATAAAGCTCTGATGAAGAGAGACCACATAATCGTCCCTTTTGTATGTGTGTCCCCCCAAGGTTGCTTGTAGATGTTTATATTCGCATGGAGAGGGATTTGGCGACTAAAAGCTTCGATGATAAACCTCCAAAATCTGTTGGCATATTCACAGGTGGCAAAGAGATGGTCTTGTGATTCCGCTTCCTTATAGCACATTATACAACCATTTGGTGATAAGGCAAGCATGGGGAGTCTTCTCTATAATCTGTCCGGTGTGTTTATGACTTTGTGACTAAGTTCCCAACAACAGAACTTAACTTTTCTGGGATATACCGCAGTAATGTGTTTGAGGAGAGATTTTACCATGTAGGTTTTTGTGGGATCCCTGGGCCAAATCCATTTGTCTTCCATGTGAGTGAGGTGTATAATCGAGATTCTATGCTCTAGATCAATCCATTCTTCTAATTCCTCCTCTTTGAGCGGTCTACAGAAAAGGTGATCCTGTGACGGTGTTTTGTTTTTTTGATAAGAAACTTTCCACACCTTTCATATAACAAAAAACAGAAGGGTACAACCAAAGGGCTGGGGCAGAGGCAACCCCACCCAAAAAAACTAAACAAACTCTTTCCAACTATTCATGAACAAGGAAAGGTGGTAGTTATGAAAGAATTACTGTAATTGATACACCACCAAGAAGAAATGTGCTGTACATTCCTACAAAAAATATAAAAAGGAGTGGTTCTATCCTCAAAAACTCGAGAATTCCTTTCTAACCAAAGGTGCCACATAAGTGCTCTAGAGGCGCACTTCCATATGAATTTTGCCTTTTTAGGGAGCTTCCAACCATGAAGAACTTCCGAAAGGCAGTCATCTACTCGTTTTGGAAAACAAGTCGCCATTCCGAAGAGATTCAAAAGAAAATACCAGCCTCTGGCCGCAAACTGACAGTGAGTGAACATGTGGTCGATATTTTCACTAGTTTTAATGCAAAGATTACACACTGAGGGGGAAATCAACCAGTTGCTGCACTTCTTTTGGAGTAAACCATGACGCTGTTTTGATTCCCCAGATCGTAACACGAGCATCTTTTCTCGTTGAGATTGAGTAAAGCTGGGGAAAATCCTCAGCCAAGGAGGAGTTGGAAGCCCATCTGCCATGCCAGAAACTAGCCAAGCTGCGATTGCCAATTTTACAAAGGACTCTATCCTTTATGTTGCTGATGAATTTAGAGATGCCTGGGGTAGAGGCCTTTATATATTTCTGGACGATTGATTAGGCCAAGGCTCATTTAGAAATTTCCTATATTTCGCCCCGATCATGCTTTTCCAAAGGCTGGGTTTTTCTGTTAAGTACCTCGAGACCACTTTGAGAGCATTGCTTGCTTCTGATCCAGGATATTGCCTATCCCAAACCACCTTGGTCTATAAGGAGTTGTACTTTTCCACAGTCGACAAGGTGAAGATTTCCAGCCATTTTAGGGCCTTCCCAAAGGAAGTTTCTAAAGTTTCTCTCAAGTAAGTGGGCTGCTCCTTTTTAGGAATTTCAAAGAGGGAGAGGTAGTATGTAGCTAAATTGGAGAGAACAGCTTGGATCAGTGTGATCCTACCTCCCTTTGATATGTGGTGATTGGCCCATTTGTATAATTTACTCTCCACTTTCTCAATAATATGTTGCCAAAAAGACAAGGAATTGTACCGGCCATGCAAGGGAAGGTCAAGTGCCAATGGGGCAGGAAAAAATGGCAGCAGCATCCAGAAGAGCTCAATATTTATTCCCAAGATCTCTGATTTTTTGTAGTTTATTCGGGCCTGATGCTTCCTCAAAGATCTAAAAAGCTTTAGCTAAATTTCTGATATGATTTGGCTCAATGGAGGAGAAGAGCAGTGTGTCGTCTGCAAATTGGAGATGGTTAATGTGAACGGAATCATCCTTGGAGTGATAGCTCGATGATGTCTCGTTTTGAAACCATGATTGAGAAGACGACTAAGACAATCCATCACCAAAATAAATAGAAAAGGAGATGAGGATACCCTGGTAGAAGTCCTCAGGCTGCTTTGACTTTTACCTCTAGGCTTCCATGAGAAGAGAGAATTTCAGAGATAGTGCCCTGTCTTTTCTTTAATGCTAAAATTTGGTGGAAGAAGCCTGAGTTTTCGTCACCCTCAAGAAGCCATCTTTGTTTGCATTTCTGACTATGGAAGAAAATATCCTGCTTTTTAGATAGGACTGTTCGAGGAAATATGATGCTAAAGGAAGTTAAAATTAATCCCTCTTTCCCAGGGGCACATATTTATTTATAAGTACCAGATATCCTCTACTCTATGTTTCACCCAAGTTATCTGCATTCTCAAATGAAGGATGTTTTTATTCTTTTATTCGATGAATTTTCTAAAATATAATACAGGATATGAAGCRCAAACAGTCCGAAGGAAACAGTTGGCTCCTTAGCTCACTTTGGAGCCGTTGGGGACTCTGGTAGAAGAGTGTTAATATCCTTCCATCTCATTTGCAATGATAATAAAAATTTATCTACTTGATCTCTGGCTCCATTGATTTTACTAGCATTTTTATGAACATTGAGGTCTTACCATCAATGCCTCTAGGTTTAGTTTCTTGTGATTAGCATCTTTGCTGTGTCGTGTGATTTCATCTTTCCTCTTTGCTTGCTAGAAAGCCAACTTCTATAGGCAATGAATTTATTGAATGAGAAAAAAAGGGAGCTTCTTTTCTTTTAACGTTAGAATAAGTCTTTTATCATATAGCCATTTGATGAACGTTAAGGTCTGATGGATTTAACAATTCGCCAACTTAACAATAGTTGGCTGTGTCATATGAATTTACTAAATCCAGAATAAGTCCTTTTTTTTTTCCCTTTCAATTTGCTTGGCTGATGTTATGATTTTTTTTTTTGAAAGTGTAAAAATTTAATAAATATTTTGGCCTTCCAGCATGCAGCCAGATATCTTTCCAATCAAGAGTGGGTAAAAAGTGATTCTTTAAAGACAGTGGAAAATACTGCTGTAAGTGCCTCCTATATCTGGACTCTTTAATACGGTGCTGTTAATAATGGATATTTATTTTGCAATACATCTGCTAATCAGTTTCTTTTTGGGTCAGATACCTATTATCATGCTTGTTGTTGAAGTTCCCCATGATCTCATTACTTCGTCCACTTCAAATATGCAATCACCCAAGGAGGAGTCGTCTGCAATAACTGGGGAACAAGATGTAAACATTCTAAATGATATGACAGGTTTAGAAGATTCTGCATTGCCAAAATGTTTGGAGGTGTATGATTCCTCAATGAGCACTAAGTCAGTTCGCATTGACATAAGTTTCAAGACTCCATCACATACAGGACTCCAAACTTCTGAGCTGGTAATCCAAATTTGTAACATAGCATACTTAACTTTCTGAATTTTATCATCATTGTTTGTGAATTTTTTAACACTCCATTTAAAGTTATTGCTCTAAAACAAGAGAAAACAAAGAACTTGATATCCATACTGCAAATCAATGGAGTGGAAAGTTTGTGGCCTAAACTTTTCAAAGATAGAGGATGAAACTTAGCCTAGTATCATAACTGTAAAACCTTTAGAAGTTTATCTCTAGGGGAAGTTGGAACAACCGTTTTTTATCCTAAACTCAAACAAACTATCAGCTTTAGCTTGGATGACGAGTATTTGGCTCTGGATGCTTTTGTCCTCCATCCCTCTTCTTGCCTTGAACTAATTTTCTATCTCAATTCATTGTCTTCTCTCAATTCTGTTTATTTATTTATTTATTATTTTTTTCCCCAGAGAAACAATCTTTGCATTTATAAGTGAAGAGCTAAAAGTTGCAAAGTAATGTCCAAACAACAAAGTATTGCATACATGGATACACTGCCCAATGGAGCTTTTACAAAAATCCATACCAAATTTGAATTAACTACAAATTGGGGAGTATAGTTTCTACACTCATTATCTTTAGGGATCCAAAAAGATACATGAAATTTAGCTAACTTAAGCACATTTCTCTACTGGTTTTCCTCTGTATTGAAATTTATGATATTTCTTTCCAACCAAATGCTCGAAGATTGCATTTTAGTTATGTGTCTTTGATTTCCTCTTGATTGGGTGACCACATGGCAGTTGAAACAAATTATCTTTTAAATGTTATTGGAAACCCATGGAAGTTTTGAAAAGGTTGTAGTAGAGAGCACCATAACATCATACTAAAATAACAATGATGGAAGAGAACAACACCACGAGGGACTCAAAGCCAATGTGAGGCATCTCACTTGAATTCCTAGCTGAAATGTTGTCCATGCAATCAAGCTGTCCCAAAAAAAAAACTTTCGAACATTTTTTGGGCCTTTTTCCTTTCTAAATTTCCTTGGGGAATTCTTTTGCCAAACTCTTTCCAACTTTTCACGCCTTCCTTCCGCAGAGGGTAATTCACCATGCTTGCTGTTAACATCATTATGCCAGATTCTTCTCAATGGGAGCCTCCTGGGCTATTTAGTATGGAAGGCCACACCATACACAATCCTCCAGGAACTTTAGGGAAACATTATTTTCCATCTTAAGGTGGAAACTTCTTGAAGTACTCAAAAGCACCCTTTTTGATCAAGTTAAAAGGAAAAGAAAGTAATCAGCCATACTAGAGAAGGTCACCTGGATAAGAAAGTAAATGGGATGCTATTGTATATATTGACTTAGAGAAAACTGAGAAGGTACAACCGAAATCTATGCTTTTATCAGGTTCTAATAATGTACGATTATGCTTTTATCAGGTTCTAATAATGTACGATTCTTTCACTAAAAAATAATGTACGATTCTTTTTAGATCAAAACCAAGAATTTGTTTGATGATAATGAAACCAATACCTCACAGAAGTTTTGGAGGAAGAACTCTTTAAAGAAGCTCCATGGAGAATGAAATCCGAAACTTTCCTCACCCCTTTGGTTCCTTCTGAAATATTCTTCTGTTTTCTTTTTACCCACCCGTACCAAAGGCATCTCTTATAATATTGTTAGGCAGCTCTTATAATATTGTTAAATAACCTTAGCTTTTCCTTTGAAGTGAGATTTGCCCTAGAGGATATGAAGGTCTCATTGCACCAAAGTAGAAAGAACAAGTTTAATGCTGAAGGTCTGAGAAAAGCTTCTACGAAATTTGCAATCTGAAAGGGCACTTTGGGAATAAATGGTTAGCATTTTCACCATACAAAGTGCAAAGATTACACTGCTTCAGTTGGGAGAACAATTAGGATGTCTTGATCTAATCCTCTCATTAGTATTCAGGCCATTTTTTAGCACATACAAAAAGAACTCAATTTTGTTTAGGTAATAGTCCTTCCAGAAGGCTTTAAAGTGAAGTCTCTGGGGAGAGTGGCTTCACTCTGGATTAAACTTTGGAAAGGTCTTGCAAGAGAAAGAGCCAGAATTATCTCAGATCCATAATCTCTACCATAATTGGACAAAGGACAGAGCTGTTCCGCCATTTATTGACCTGATAAATTCCTCTGGAAGTGAAAAGACCAATGTCCCATTGCATTCCACTGCTGCTCCACGTTGCCAATCTGGAATTAGTAATAGAAAATTAAGTGAAGGGGTTTCCATTATTCAAGAGTCTCTTCAGAATTTGACTGCCCTACTGCATACATACTGAATCTCGTTCTCATGAACATTCTGTATGATCTGCTTTTTAATAACATTATTTCTCACTAAAGTTTCACAAGATTGCTGTTTGTATACAAAATATTATCTCATAATTTATATTTGATTCTATGTAATTTCAATTGCAGGTTAAGGAGCTGACTGAACAATTTCCAGCGACTATACCTTTGGCTTTGGTGCTGAAAAAGTTTCTGGCAGATCGTAGCCTTGATCAATCCTATTCTGGTGGCTTAAGTTCTTACTGTTTGGTGAGTTGTCCCAACCTCTTACCGTAGCATAATCAAAATGAAATGTTGCTGTGAGTTTTTAACATGTTCAGTGATTCAGTGCAAATGAATTTTTTAAAGATCTGATTTCATTCAAGTGGAAATGATTACAAGAAAATAAGGGGAGAAATGTCTCTTATTATGTTATTATTACTTGATTAGAAACAGGGTATTTTAGTTGCGTATTAGCAGCTTTTTTGTAATGAGGTTTCTGAATTTCTCTCCATAACTAATTTTCAGGTATTATTGATTATACGCTTTCTTCAACATGAACATCATCTTGGGCGTCCGATCAACCAGGTAATTTCAGTTCTCTCTTTGTAAGGGTCAATTTGAAAAGTGGACTAACTGCACTGCACTGTAAATCTATATGAATGGTCTCTGAGATAATCAATCTTCATGATGTGACAAATTAAACGTACTATATATTATAAAATTTTGAGGTCTGTTTTAATTTTTATTATTATTGTTGTTGTTGCTTTCTCTCCCTGGTTATATATATTTGTGATATTGAGTTTAAACTTTTCTGAACTCAATGTTCCTGCAGAACTTTGGAAGCCTCTTAATGGACTTCCTTTACTTCTTTGGGTAAGCCAGATTTCCTTTATATTATTTGTCAAAAACTAATATCATTTTCCATTTCCCCAGTGTAAAGGGGAAAAGAGAAGTGAAGTTCAGTTCCTTTTGTGAGATTGCAACTTTAATTTGTTTATGCTAATGTAGAATCATTTGCTTTCAATCCAGGAATGTGTTTGATCCTCGTCAAATGCGTATTTCTATACAAGGCAGTGGAGTCTATATAAAGAGGGAAAGGGGATATAGGTAATATGTTTAGTCCAAATTGATTATCACACACGGTTATTTTGACGGTAGTTCTTTATTGTGTCTATGATGATGCCTTTTTTTACCATTTATGGGTTAGTTATAATTGTTAATCATGTTCCATTTGTTATGTAGCATTGATCCCTTACATATTGACGATCCTCTTTTCCCCACGAATAATGTGGGGCGAAATTGTTTCCGTATACATCAATGTATCAAGGTGAGACCTCTGTTTGTGTAGCATTATTTACTTTGTGAACTTCTGAATTATGATGTGCATGGGAAGTACTTTGTGCAACTAAAGTAAGTTAGAAAGACCACTTTGACAATGCAATCTTGCTTGTCAGGAAAGATAAAATATTAAATTGTTGAGTGAGTGGTCGAGTGAATTTATTTTTTTGAATAAAAATATAAAATAATATTGCCTGGAATGTGAGTTGCTGAGTGTAATTTGCAAAATTACCTACTGCTCGTGATATATATATTTTATTTTTTTATTTTTACACATCAACTTGATTAGTTGTCCTTGATTTGGTAGAAGGAAAATGCTTGTGTCTTAAGATTAACTCGTCTATAGATTTGAAAGATAATGTATGACACATAGACTAAGATCACACGGTAGCTCATCTGACCACAGGAAGCTCATTCAGACACTATTCCTGACATCTTTAATGCGGTTATGATATGGTATTGGTCTTAAAATCTGAATCAGATTCATGACTGTCTGTACAAAATTTTATTTGCTATTTTATTTCCCACAACTGTGTTTTTCAATGATTGTTCCTATCAGAACTTTTTTCCAAGATTGTATTCTCTCTCCTCTATAATTCTCTAATTATTCAAAATTTCTGTCTTGTAGGCCTTTTCAGAAGCTTATTCTATTTTGGAGAGTGAGCTCATATGCCTTAGTGATAATGGTGACACATGTTCAGATGCAACTAATAGGGTGCTTCAGAAAATAATCCCTAGCATTGATATATCATAAGGGCTTACTATACGATCTTTTTATACATGGAGGTAAATTTAAGTTACTCACTTTATGTTACTATTATTATTATAAAATGGAACTCTACGAAGTCTATAGAAGGTCTAATTGGTTGTTACCAAGGTCAATGCTTTTGAAGTGATGATGTGTATTCAAGTATTTTATTTAAAACTAACACCACCAGTAGATAAGTGCATTGCTTCCTCCATTGCATTTTTTGTTTATCGTTCAAAGGAATGAATACAAAGAATTATAAGATCAATGTGATTGCTTGTTGGTGTAAAGACCGGGTTTGAAGGTGCTATACCTCTTTCTACAACTGTCATGGTAAAATGTCTAAGAAGTCTTTGAACTCAAAGTTGCACCTTGATGCTTGTAGGGGCAATAAACTTATCCAATGAAGTTACAAAAAAGTTCTCCAATTGGATGTAAGAATAGTCATACTATAATTGGTTTATGATTTTAATATATATATGTTTCTGTAAATATTTATTTCAATAATAATTATTAGATTATTGTGATAGTTTCTTTATTTTGTAACTTGTTTCTCCTCAACATAAGGAGGTAGGAGGCACGTTTCTATTTTTATGAATAAGACAAAAGTATATTTTGCCTCTCAAAATTGACTTGGTATTAGAGTAGAAAGTGATGTGTTTGAATCCTTTAGTGTCATTTCGTCCCCAATTAGTATTGATTTCAACGTGCTGGAAATCTGCAGGGATAACAAAAGGAGGGCACTTTCCAGTCTTGTACTTGGCTAATTTCCAAGCTTACAAGTAAGGAGGAATGTTAAAAATAATAACCTATCAAACTTAAGTTTATGGGCTTAGTTTAGCGSTGATTTAAAATTGCTAATAGGAAAAAGTTATCTACTAAAGCTGGAGTAAGTGTAATTAGTTTGTTAACGTTTTAGCTGAACCAAGATTACGTGGATTTTCTCAATTAGTGTCAATTGGTTGGGTCTACTGAGGATGAAAGATCTACTTCAGGATGACTAGCCTTTCTTGTTGGTACTCTATTGACTTGGATTGAGAAATTGATAGGTAGCTGGAATCGGTGTGAGACCATGAGAGTATATATTGATAATATGGGGAATTGTGTGAATGATTAGGTTTGTTTTATAGGAGTATAGGACAAAGAAAACCACTTTTCATTGGAGATGTGAAAAGGACAGAGGGGTCAAAGAACTAGAAGGAGCATAGTTTACAAAAAATTACCTCAATTTGGAAACAATAAAAAAAATACAAAGATAGAGAAGAGGGGAAGGAGTCTTAATTTCTTTCCATATATCTTCCGTGTCCTTGCTATTGTCATCAAAGATCTTTCGGTTCCACTGAAACCAAATCTTTCAAAAGAGCTTTCACCACACATACAACAGGACTTTGGCTTTGTTTTTAGAAGGAACCCCACACAGGAGTGGAGACTATTACCGGATAGCGGATACAAGAGGTGATTGGCTCGAGAGACTGTTTGTCTTATGAATGCAGAGAATATTGATCACATCTACTAACATTGCCATTTTGCTTCCATGAGCTGGTCATTTTTGACGAGAGAATTGGGTTTTTCCTCCTGCCTGCCTACACTTGTTAATGATTGGCTTCTTGAAGTGCTTCAGAGGTGGTATATGGAAGGAAAGGCAAACGTTTTTTGAATTGTGCTGCTAGAACTCTCTTTTGGTACTTATGGAAGGAAAGAAATCAGCGAGTCTTTAACAATATAACTCACCCTTTTGATGTTTTTTTGTAATAGTGTACAAATTACTACTTCTACGTGGTGCTTCAATCATAGAAAATTATTTTTAATTAATAGCAATGATTGATCAAGATTGGAAAGCTATAACCTCACCTCACTAGATCTTTTGGGAACGTGGCTTTCTCATCCCCTTGCCCGTAGGTTGTCCTTCTTTGTTCTAATCTGTTTCTTATATAGGAAAAAAAAAGAAAAGTTTAAACCATAGCTTTTTCCTATCAGCCAGGCCAGTCGGTGTAGAATTCCTTTGCTTTTAGTTTGTGCTGTTTTATTAGTGTATTGTAGTTTAATATTCAAATTATAGCTGTAAAACGTACCATTTTTCTGAAAAGTTATCCTGTGACCTATAGTACATACATTAACAGTTTGCATCTGTTTTCAGTGGATGTTGGGACTTGATTGCAGAAGATGTGCTTCAAGGATGGGTTCTCATTTGCCTTATCCACACGTTAAGACTATCTTAAGAATGTGCTCTACCCATATACGGCCATCATAGTTTAAACTCTGTAAGTTAGATTATGTTAACTTATTAACCTCTTTTGACAACAAGCATGTTTCGTGTTAATTGGTACTTCACTGTTGTTTTAAGCTGGCTGCCTAGCTCTGCAGTAAAGAGTTGAAGTTACAGTGTCAATATATTGTTTCGTTATTCTAATTTTGTTATGTTCCTTTTTGTAATCCCTTCAGGACATCCCCATCTGATAAAATTGTGTTTCTTTTTGTTTAATATTTAATTTTTATGGTGAGGATGTTGAAATTTAAGTCAGTCAGAGATTTTGGTTTGTTATTTCTGCTGCTTTGCTCTATATCTTGCACCAAATTTTGGAATATCCAGACAGATCTAAATGGTACGGGTTCATTTGGTCAAATTTGCAAGATGCTGGTCGAGTTCCTTTACTGTGTAATTGTAGAAGATTATAGTCCTTTTTATGCAATTTTTAATTTTCTGAAAGAAAGATGATATCTTTGACGCTAAATTACTTCTTTACCGTGTAACTGGAGACGATTATATTCATATTTATGCAAATTTTAATTTTCTGAAAAATCGCTATCTTGGACGGTAAATCACTTCGTTACTGTGAAGTTAGAGAATATTAGTCCTCTTTATTTAATTTTTAATTTTCTGAAATAAAAATGCTATCTTGGACGATAATAATAGAAGTACTCGTGAATTGTAGGATAATGTGCATCGGAGGGGATCGTTTTCTGTTATTCAGTTAGGACCTATGTAATGATGGGGTTGTCTATTTGTCAACTTGGTGGAAGCGCTGCTGACAATAGGGTATGTGCTAGATTCTGTGTTTTTCTCCAAGATTGAGTGCACACTCTTCATTTCTTCTATAATGTTCAGTTACTGTTGGTCATTGTTTGGTCTCTACTACTAATTCTTTAGTACGAGCTGGTTTAGATCAAACTTGAAAGGTGCCTGTCCAATTTATACTTACTAAATGAGAGAATGCAAGAACCCTGCTGTATGCAATTTTTGTTTAACTGAAAAAGAAAGGAATTTGAAAAGCGATCATGAAGAACTTTTGCTTGCAGGTTCATCACAGGGTCAAATCTGGTTACTTAGGTAGGACCCGTGAAGTGGTGGGGGTTTGTCCACTTGCTCGCGTTAAGTCTATGTCCATGGCAATAGTGGTATGTACTAAATTCTCTTTCTTCAAGATTGGGTACTTGTCTATCGTTTTTTCAGATTTTTATTTAAAAAATTTATTTTTCATGGTAATTGTTCCTATGCCATTCAGTTAGTGGTCATCAACTGTGAAATCCTTCCTTCGATCGTGGCTGTCACCTCAGCGAGCAGATAATGGGAAGCCCCAAGGGTATGGAAACTCATCCTTGTGTACTTGTCAAAATGCAAAACGGTGTATGACGTGCCTTCTGTTTTCCATTTTTCAAATTTATCTCCATCTGGGATCGTTTAAGATTATTCATTTCAGTTGTACTTTGTACTGCAGCAATCTGAAGTTTTCATAAATTTGCAGTACTGCTTGGGCGGACCGATTGCAGCAAGCTCTATGTATCATACGAGCTTTTCAAGTGCACCTGTAATCAGCAATCAGGTGGAGAAGCCCCATATTCACCATCTTTCTCTAGGTTCACCTGCTCTCTGTACATCTAAACTCAAAAATCTTCTCTCTTGAAACCAAATACTAAATTACTGAGATGTAACGCCTTCCTGTGCTCTCCTGGTTGCTGCAAGAAGGTAGTTGCACAAACGAAATTTGGAGGATGCAGAGAAGAAACTATTTCCGTAGATGGATTACAGCCAGCTTTGTTTACCCACCTCCTTTCTGAGCGTATGGGGACTCAGATCAGGTTCCGAGTAAACCACAGCCTTTGGAAGATAAAAAAAAGAAGTGGGCGGTTGGCCGCCCTCGACTGTCCAAATTTGAATCAACAGAGGGCAAAGAAGTGTCCATGGTGGTTGATGTTGGTCGGCCGCCACCGAGCAAGAAAAATGACACATCGCTCTTACATCTCTTGAAAGAAACTCACGTATTGTATATTTCCCCAGTGTCATCATACGTGGAAGGCGATTATACGAAGGCATTTAGATTTATACAACTTCTTGAGTAGGGGAATGGTGAAGAAAATTAATTGGATATTAAACGGATTCCGCTTGTATTTTTGATGAGAGCTTTAGATTATATATTGCCTTCTAATAAAAGTAGAGAAGTACTATAAGGTAGCCCAGCAGTTAACAATGCTGCTGCTATTATTCTATGATTGATCCATGTGATAATTACTTCAATTTGGCAGAAATCAATGAGGCCAAAATGCCACTTCAATAAAAAGTTGAATTTTTACTACAAACCCAAATTGACAAAATCGACTCAGCGGGGATTAAGCATTGCAGTTTTCCAAATGAAAAGTGGTGTGCCATTTGGGAGTTCCTAGCTTGAATATACAAAGAGAGTTGAATATTTTCTTGGAAGAAAGTCGGTATTTATTTATCTGGCTGGCTAATCTTGGGAGAGTCGATAATCCCGTCTTGACCTTACAAACGCCCTTAGCAAAATAAATTTCTCCGAAGAAAGCCATAGCATAGCCATCCGGACCAGTTGCCAAAATTCTACATCCAAAATTCTGCAGATCCATCATTTCTGCTATTTCAATATCAACTTTTCTGAAAGGACGAGCGTAGTGCAAATATGCCTATGGTATAGGGAGGACTTAGCAATTAACAAATATCATCCTTAGCTAACCGAAACCTTGGTGAATTCAATATCTGCTAAAAATAGGGAGATTCAGATAATAAGGATATCGCAAAGATATAATGTCAATATGTGCCATCTCAACCACCACTACCTTCAGTTCGACCATCATGAGAAACATATCTTTTTAACCCAAATTTCTGACCATCTTTGAGGAAGTAAGCCCCTCCCCAAAGTGCGCTCCCTTCTTCATGGGTAGTGGCTCTCCTCATTGAACAGAAAGAAATCCCTTGGTTAAATAGCAATCTTGTTTCCTCGATGGAAAGCCATCAGGAGCTCCCCAACTTTGACAGAGGGCCTCTTCCCAGTTGATTCTTTTCTTTCCTCAAAGTACATTCTCAATCCTTAAAGTCAGGGTCTGTAGGTGGTCCCTCGATAAGTTTTTCTTGTAAGACTAGACTCTTAGGTACTACAAGTTCGGTTCCCTGGCCTGACATGAAATAATACCTCTCTAGTACCATCTGCATCAATAAAGTAAAACTAGTGAAAATTATGAGCGGAAAGATATGTACCTGACATTCATTGCTGCAGTCATCATCCAATGATCATAAATATGAGAATCAGCACTTTACCATGGCAGCATAGGCATCGATTTTCTTCTGTCGAGTAGATTTATTGAGCCCCCTGGGGAAAACATGAAAAGTACAAAAACCAATGTGATAGATGATATGGAATTACAAAAGAGGGGAGGAAAGCTAACCCCGAGCCAGAAAAGATTATAAAAAGTTCTAATTGATGAAAGAACATTTTAACCATAGTTGTTGAAGCGACAAGGTACAYATAATTTATCTTAAGAGAAAGCCACAAACGAAATAGTATCTAAAAGATAATCAGTAGTCTTTTCCAAACTGGTGGGATAATAAAATTTTAATTTTCTGGATGGAACAAAGCATCAATGCAACCAAACTAAATTTGCATAAAGAAAAATCTAAGGACAGCTGCAGTGCTTCAGGCCCATTTTAATCACAAACTATTTTCAATTCTATTCTTCCATTAAATACCACAAAGCAAAAGAACACTGAGAACATCAGTGACTACTAGAGACAAAAATGTGTAACCATCCATGCAACAACCTTAAAAGAAACAAGTCAAAATTCTCCATGTTTCACAAAGAAGTTTACATGAGAATCAAAATTAGAGTAATTGACTAGGTTCTCCATCGTCCTCATCATTTGATCTTACTTGCTTTTCTCCCCCTCTGTCACAATTTGGTTTCTTTTTGGTTGTTCTAGCATTGAGTGTCTTCTTACTATGTCGCAGGCATAAAATCAATAGACGTTCTCAATTGCTTTCCATGGAGACAATTGTACGGTGAAACTATCAGAGAGGAAACAAATGTTTACCAGCTTATCTTTTCTTTTGAAGTTCGTTAAATCTTGTCAACAGAGATGGTAACCTCAAACCTTGGTGTCAGAGTTGGTTGGTACAACTTTGTACCCGGACCCTCTTATTGTCTTCCTACCATCCATATGAAATCTCCTTTCCTTGAGTAAATGGCTTTTTTGGCACTAGTCTCTAGTGGCCCACTCACTCTACGTAAGTTGGAATCTTATGATGGAAGAGATTTCAGATTGGAGTCTGTTTGTTAGTTTGGATTCCTTTTGAGGGTCTATTTTATTTTATTTTATTTTTTGTATGCTCTTATTTTTCCTTTCATATTTCTCAATGAAAGTTTGATTTCTCATAAAATAAAGTAATTGAGGGATTATCTTGATCACTCCTAAACTCAAGCCACAGTTCACCACTCCTTATGCTAATATTATAGGTCACTCTTCCATTGAAGCACAGTTCCCTAACTCCTCCAAAAGCAGACGGTTAAAAAAAAAGAACCACCAAATTTCATTGATCAAAATGAAATATATACAGACGGCAGTGCCCCCAAAGCAAAGTGGTTTCAAACAAAAAGGCTATCCTAGTGGCGTAGATAATAGAAAATAGGTAGTCATAAAAAGTGGAAAATGCATAAGGAAGTCTAATTTGATTTCAATGATACTTTCCCCAAAAATAGCGAAGATGCCACAACACCAAATAAGCTCTCTCTTCGGTTTCAGAAAATGACTTCCCTCTAAAGGAATAAAGTAAAGGCCAAGTAGATTGGAAGTGGGGGGAGTTCACAAACTTCCAAGAAACGACAATCCATGAAGATGTGGCCGTTCGTCTTTTTACATGAAAATTTCTCTAGGTTGATGTGGTTAAAACGATGAAAAATTATCAAGAATGAGGCAGAGGTTAAACTATTCATCTACCTAGAGAAAGGTTAAAACGATGAAAAATTATCAAGAATGAGGCAGAGGTTAAACCATTCATCTACCTAGAGAAAGGTTAAAACGATGAAAAATTATCAAGAATGAGACAGAGGTTAAACCATTCATCTACCTTGAGAAAGGTTAAAACGATGAAAAATTATCAAGAATGAGGCAGAGGTCAAACCATTCATCTAGTCCAACAAATTCTTTCTAAACATAAAAGCCCACCTGACAATGCCACCATCCCAAACATCCTCCGGAAATAGTCGGTTGCAATTACTCCACCTACTATTTACAGGATACAGAATCCACACTAACAACACTAACGGAAGGTGATGCAATAAATTTTACACGATACAGAACCCAGGCAAATAATACTACCAAAAGATGATGCAATATGTTTTGCAGAATGGAATCCACGCTAACAATATTAAACAAAAGACAACATAAGTGAGTTTTGAGGACAACAATACTTGCAAATCATATGGTTTTCCGCTTCAGATGTTGTCCCATGTTCATCGTGCAAGTAAACTCTCCAACCTCTAAACTAAAAACTGTATCAGAACAGCAAAGCAAACATAAGGGAAATAAAGTACACCCATTCAGTGTATTTCACCTTTCAGCTGCTCGAGCTGCTACCCTTCCAGCAATACTACGAATTTTATTTGACTGCGGTGTCTCTTTTCCATCGCTTGATTTAGGAAGTCCAATAATAAATTCATCAGCCTCCTACAGTTTTTTCATCAATTAACATGTAACTAAAGAGAAGAAATAATGTTCCAACATGTTGATAACACTTAATTAGGAAAGTATAAGGATCATGAGAGAGGGAGGGATATATACTTCCTGTTCAGCAATCTCAATAAGCTTAACCTCAAGCTTATGTCCTCGCAACTCCAAGACCTAAGCCAGCTAAAGAAATCATGAGGCCGCAATATTTGATAACACACAACACGGAGTTAAATTCTGGGAATCATTCATAACTTCAATATTTAGGTATAACATAAAACAAGCTTAGAAAGAAGAGCGAAGGTGGACTGTATAAAACGGAAATGATAACAGCCTGCATTTGCAACTTAATAAGAACTTGTGTCCCAGAAGAAACGGAATTCAGTAAGAACAATCGATCATCAACCTCATATCACAGTTTACTTGTTAAATACATTACGTATGTTCTGATGGCAGCAGACTTCCACGATCATATCCCATAATAACGCATTGAACACCACTATAATTATTAGAAAGAATTTCCTCCTTGATACCGGAAAATCGAAAAGCAACCAACTACAAAAACGTTGGGGACATCGAATTCTACAACAAATAGTGAGGACATACAAAATAAAAGCGAGCTTAAGGAAATTAAATAGTGAAATTAGCAGATAAATTACGGTAAGAGGACGAGTGGAGAAGCCTTTACTAAGAGCAAGGCCAGTGCGGGAGGTTCCGAGGTCTACCCCTAGACTGAAACCTCCTCTCCAGTGAGGGTCGAGCTTGCGGCGAAGGGCATTAGGCGGAAGTTCAATGGAGGAAATCGCCCTTGTTTCTGAGACGCAATTGCATTCTAGGATTGGCTGAGCAAAGGTAGAGCATCGTGGGAGCCACAGAATGGTCGAAGACTGAAGTTTCTGGTTGCTCGGAATAAGGCTTTGCGGCGGAAACGGTTGAAAATGTTGCGAAAACATTTGTAGGCGGGCGCTCGGCGCTCGGCGCTCCACGGTCCACAGAGAGAAGCGGATAACACAACACAGGTCCCGCTGCCGCTGTCTCGCCAATCACAGCCCAGGCCCCGACACACTCCATGACAGCACATTGTGTTTCATGACAATCTTAAAGAGCCTTTGAGACCTTGTCGGGAATACTGCCAGGGACTTCGCCTATAAATAGAACTATTCCGCTTCATTTCAAGGTTCACGAATACTAAATTCTCTCTCAAGTTTAGTTTGACCAGCTATTGACTTTAGCATCCTAGTGTTTTCTGTTTTGCAGGTCACTCTTTCTCATCCTTCGAGGAGTTCTCAGTTCGAGTCGAACTATCCAGACGATCATTTTCTTAATTAAACACAAATAAGTTATATTTATATAAATGAAAGACATGTAACGTGCAATATAGACACCAAATTAAAATTAAACTCAAACTAAAATGTAAAATTTTATTTTTGAAGATGGAAAACAATTTGTTAACGAAATATTTATGTTGTTCTAGAAACTTTTCGCCCATCATCACTCCCTTATTATGTTGTAATTTGTGAAGAAAGTTCGACGACACCACCCAATACTTTGTCACATTATGGTAATAGATTAAGTCTTCGGTTTGGTTGACGTTGATTATCTAAAATTAAAGAACCGACGAGTGAGTCGAGTTGAAAAAGTAAATTTCGACCGACCAACCGGCCCATTAACTTATTTAAAAAAAAAACTTGTAGTTACATTAATTTTTTTAAAGTTTTTTTTTCTTTTATTTATTTTCTCTCCGCTTCTATCTTTCTGTCTTCTCCCTCATTTCTCTCTCTCCCTCTTTTCCTTATTTCCCTTTTCTTTTGGTCTCCCTTTCTCTGCCTTTCTTTTCTTTTCCTCTGTCTCTTCTTCTCATTTTTTCGTCGTTGAAGTGCATATTACATTTGGCTCACATCTTTTTCTCAAAAAGCGTTTTTTTATATATTTTTTTAAATATTCTTTCATTCTTTTTATTTTGTATGAAGCTTCATCTCGTGTTAGTTTTAACTAAAAACCAATCAACCACCAATGTAGTCAGTTGGTCGATGTAGCAGAGTCTTCCAAAATTATTATATGTCTATGAAAATCGAGCTATTGGTGGTTTGAGACTCAAATTGACGACGTGCGACCGATCGATGTGCACCCTTAATAGCTAATCATAAAAACGAAACTCCACTTCTATTATAGTAGTTGATTTAGACTAAAGTCAATGGTAAAACGATGGACTGCGTAACTATATCTTCACATTGCTATAATATTATCCAATTTTAAATATAATCCAAACAACCTGCCAAACAAGGTGGTGAAAAAGTGATGGGAATTTCATGGCGGTCAAACTTACCATTAGGGTTATAAAGAGATTGGCTCAAAAAGTTAATTTCTATTCAATGTTTAATAGTGTTTTAGTGCCATTGAATCAATGGTCCATCACACGTGGATAGGGCGTGGTTTTTCGATCTTAATTAATTACTCAAAAGTCTTAACCAACTTGCCATATATTGAAAATTATTGGAATTTTGAACTAAAATGCACATAATTTTAGCAACTTTTTTTTTTTTTGAATGATCTACATTATTAATTGAGGGTCTCGCATCGATTTTTCTTTTTACACATAAAAGAGTGATTATTTGCTCATAAAGTCGAGTTGATATAAAATTTTAGTAAAGTCTTTTATTATTATTTTATTTTTGTTGCATCTTTGTTAAAAGATATATAATATAAATGTTTTTGCAAATATGTGGTTCCCTATCAGGTGGGTTCAATGGGTGAGTCAAAGGGAAGAGTGAAGAAAAAGTTGGGTAAATGAGAAGGGAAAGTAATAACTGGAAAGTACAACATTGGAAGCAAAGGAATGTGACATGGCTAGAAGAAGCATATATTTCTCATGAGTTGGGTGGATCACATGCAATTCAGACACTCAACAGTTATTAATGTTGATGCTTTAATTTATGATTATGACTTGGAATATAATTCATAATATGCTGCTAGTCTATGTATTGTATTAGAACAAGTGCAATCAAATCTCAATCATTTGATCCATCAATAATAGTGAGGAAGATCGCGAATTCATAGGAGAAATTGATCATTTTGGTTGGTGTAAAAACTTTAGTATAATTTTAATTCTCAAAAGCAAATCTATTTTGATTTAGATTTCAATATGACAATATTAGTTTCAAGGAGGAGATTATAAGCATATTGCACCTCATTAAACCCAACCACCCTGCATTGCCAATATCTATAAATCTACACATTGAAATTAGTAATTGCAACTTAATATAGGTACAAGTAATTAAAAGAGAGAGATGGGTAATAATGAATAATGAAGTCACATGCCCAAGATGTGTTAATTAATTATAGCCAGTTAAGGGTGGGGCGTTATCAAGGATCTCACGTTGATAAGATAAATTAACAATGATTAATAATATATGTGGGCTACTCCACTCATTATCAATTAGTTTTGACATGTAACATCATGAATATTAATTTGGTATAAGAGTCCAAAAAATTCAAACGAGCATACCATCCAAAAATGGAATCCAATTAAGATCAATGTCAAAAAGAGTCACGATCTAACGTAAACACAACCAAATTAAATTGGTATTAGAGTGCAAAATTAGAGGTAAAGTCCAGATGGTTCAATTATTTAGACGTACTACTGCGCATCATCCATTCTTCTTCTACATCTCTCTCTCTGATGTGAAAGCTCCCCTGCTGCATTCATTAATAATGTGCCCACTAAACTTACATTTTTTCTTCCACATTCTTCCATATCTACACTTCCATCACTATTGCACATTTGTCAACAAGTTGTGTTTCTCAAGAAAAAGGAAACAAAAAGGTCGGGTATAGTTTAATTAGTTAGCTTGTATATGCGAATAATCTTTAACCATTTTCAATAATTTCTTCAACCTCAAACCTATTTTCTTTTAAGAAAAGTCAACTACATCTACTTGCTTTCAATAAATATATGCAAAATGGATTGTTTTAGATATGATCATATGGTTAGATGTTTAGTTTGACATGGTGTACTAATTAAAATGTTTTATGTCCACGTGAGGATAACTCAAATAGTTAAAACATATGTGTTCGATCAAAAGATTGTGAGTGGGGGTGGAGATTCAAACTCATGACCTTTTGATCAGAGATATGTACCTTAATGACTTGAGTTTTGCTCGGTTTGGCGAGATATGTATAACTTGAAATTTAGTATCATCAGTAACTTGATATTTAAACTTGAGCCACTTTACCAAAAGAAAAATTCAACTAAGCCGCCCTTAATGCTTTTCTAACAGAAAAAAAGTCAACTAAACCTTAATGCCTTCTCTTCTCTCACATTTTTTAAAACTTTATTTTTTAAGTCAACTATTATTTAATTTTAATCTCAAAATAAAAGAATATTTGATCTAATTTTAAGTCAACTTGCTACCTGCTAGTTAGTTCTCCACCTTAATTTATTTCTACGGCCAATTGAATTGCAACCCAATTTTAAAAGTTCAAAACAACATTTGTTGTTGTACAACTCTGGAGGTCAATGCATTTTTTTGTTTTGTTTAGGTTACATAAAAGTTGAAATAAACAGAATATGAAATTTATTTTCCGGCCTTGATTTTCTATTATTGTGTTCCATTAATTTAGTTTGTGATATGTAGCAATTTTGACTGAGTAAAGAAAAACTCTCTTTTTCCATCAATAATTGAATTCAACTTGAGAAGAAGAGGTCTTCATACAGTAAAGAAGATAGGGGACTAAAATATTTGGAGAAGAAAAAAAATGGAAGAAAACCCATTGACATGAGCATAAATCCAATCCAACTCTTGTGGTATCACTTATCATAATGATAAGATGTTGTGTTCAAACCTTTGAATGAGACACATTATAGCTCGAAATTAGCCCAAAGTTAGTAATCTTATAAAGGTTTATAATAGGTATATGAAGTACTTAATTGATTTTGAGGGGTAACTTCACGAATATCATTTATCTCTATTTTAACTGTGTTATGGGATGTTTCAAGGAGATTATTAAAATTACCCTCTTCCCACATGTGTTCATTTTTTGGTAAAAAAGAAAAAAAAAAGTTGTGGTTTGAAGTGCCCTTTTTCCTTTCAAATAATGACAACGATAGTTGATACTATTCACAAAAGAAATGGAAGGAGATCACATTTGTTGACTTTCTCTTTTATGCCCCTTTTATATGGGAAGAAAATATAAATTTCAACATAGGAGACTCTAGTCAACTTCTTTTTTTTTTTCAAAGATCCTTTATTGTCAAGTCTATTCGTAATTACAGTTACTTTATTCTTAAAATATTTTATAATTAAATTAAATTAAAAATTTATGTTCTAAGACTATAAATTTAACCCAGTACAATGTAGTAGACACTTTGTCAATAATTTTCCAGAAATTATTAGAACTAACTAAATTCGTATTATATTTTGGTGAATTTCGAACCGGAACCGGCCCACCGACTAATGAAGATCTTGTAAAGTGGGAGTGTATAAAGGGCCACCAAATTAAATTACGACAACCTAGGTGTCCCCTTCCTCTCTGTTTGGCTGATTAGATAACCACCACTCTCCATATTTTTTCACCCTTCCAAGTTTTAAGAATATGATCAGACTTTTCTCCATATTTCTAATAATTTTTCATACGTGTAATTTACTTATTATCTAACTATTTCTTTTTTTTTAAATAAGTTATCTAAGTATTTCTTTTAATCATGTATTTTGGAAAATACGTTTTATTCAAAAAAACATATAGCATTTACACAAAATTAAGAGTAAATTAAAAAGTATATAACTGTCACTAATTTTCCCCATTTATAATAAAAAGACACTTCTCTCTGTTGGCTTAAGGTATAGCCAAAGGAAGCCATCCCTAAAATACTCATAATTCTAGAAGTCTATATCATATTCCTAAAATTGCCAAGTCTGTTTCTGAACATAATAAAATTGAAAAAAGTTTTATTAAATAATCCAAATAAATATTGATAAATATAAAGATTTTACTTGATTATGAGATTTTCACTATATTATTTCTGAACATGAATCAATTTGTCTTATTCATCCTCTGTACTACATAAAGGTGCTAGTAGACAGAAATTCTTTCTCCATTTTTCTT